CCCAGGGTAAAAGATAATTTCAGGTTCACAGATAAAGGAGACTTTTTAGAGGAAGTAGTAGTGGAATTGCACTTGAAAACGACACAATCTATAGAGAGGTTGGAGGGGAGGGGAGAGCACTGCAGATCTGACTGGTTCACACCAAGACCCAAAGGTAGGAAAGCGTAAATCCCTCAGGAAAATATGAACAATTCTCGTTGGCTAGTTGAGGGTATTTGTCAGGAGATGGGGTGTAGGGAAGATGAGAAGAGGGCTGGACAGGTCATAGGCGGCCTGAAAAACCCAGCAGGGAATAGAACAATCCAACAAGGTCAAAGGGAAAATTAATTAGATCAAGTGCCTTATGGATTAGAGAGTGAAAACATTTGGGGAATAGTTTGGGTGCGAGGTACTAAGATGATGAAGATGAAAAAAGAGAATAGAGTGAAGGTGAGAGAAAAAGGCCTGATGGGATTTGATCACAGAATACAAAAGAAAGCAAGGAAGACAATAGAAAATGCTGATTCCGACACATCCAGCCTCAGCAGCCAGGAGATCAGACATTGTTAAAATATAGCAACTTGGAGAGTAGGCGATGGTTTATAAAAGATTCATTTAGGGAAAATGTTCAGTTTGAGGTAACTTGAGTGACCCAGTAGAAGGTAGTTGGGAGGTCATTTGAAAGGTAGGTGAGTCATTCTAGAGAGAGACAGGGGCTGGAAATATGGATTCAACATCATATCCAAATTTCTAAGCACTGAAGCTGTCGATAAGATGAGCAAAGGGAAGACCAAAGAATTGAAATAGATGCAGTCTAAGAACAAACCACAGGGAGCTCAAACACATGGCCTCAGTAGTCAGGAGACAGATAAAGCTCCGATGAACTGGGGGCTGCACCAGAAGGGGCTACCCCTTAGATTCAGGATGCTTTCTGGGTGCACCCTCTGCCCCACCGAAGATCTCCTAGATCCCATCTCCACCTCCCAAAATACTGTCCAGCTTACAAGCCCTCTGAGAAATTCCCTGATCACCCTAAGCAGAAACCAACCTTCCACCCCAACTCATGAACTTCCGTCCAGCTTTGTGTCATTTTCAAGGCTGTGGCATATCCATCCTGTGTCATGTTATTCATACAAGTGTCAGCCTCCCTGTCCCACTCCTCAGCCATATCCCTACCTTCCCAAACATTCTACTACTTCCTGCACCCAAAAAAAAAAAAGAGAGAGAGAGAGAAAGAAACAAGAAGGAAAAAAAAAAACAAAAAACACCTTATTTGGGGGAGGGTGAGTTTCTCTTTTCAAATTCTCTGTCTTGTTATTTCTGGTCTTAGTTTACCCCATAGAGAAAAATATGATGGTATCTAAACAGAGAAGAAGTTGAGGACAAACTGGAAAGGACAGCTGCAAATGTTACCTTCTGCATATTCTTTCCTGAGATTTTCTGTTTCTGAGCACCCTGTAGGTTAGGTGCTATGCAGAATACACAAGGAGATACGCTCCTCTACATAAATTATTCTATCCTTGGGTGATAGGATCTGTTTTCATTAATGATTAATTCATGAAACCATGTCTTCCTCTTCCCCCTACCCACACACATACTCTCAAAGGTTTTAACTTTAAATTACAGCCACTTACCCACTGGGAAAATCAAGTCTACACCTAACTGCTGATTAATTAGACAGCTAGGTATACGTCAGTCTATAGCAAGTTACCAACACTAAATTCTACAGGAATTGTTTTTCTCTAAGTTTCAATTGCCTAAGGCATATACTGGAGATTTTTTTCCTTCTCTGAAAACTATGGAAAAAAAAATTATGAGCTACATCCTAAGTCAGATCTGCTCAAATACTATGATTTTAAATTTATAATTTAAGTTTCAAGTTAGAGAATTATTTTTTTTTTCTGTTCAATTTCAATCTTAAAAAAGCTGTGAGTCATTAACTAGTGTAATTTCAAGATTTATTTGAGGTTCTAAATGGACCTACCTCCTAACCTTCAAGCGGTGAATATGAAGAGGAAAGGGATGGCCAAGGGCTGTCTCCTGCAGCACAATGGAGATGATAAAGGTTCTGAATTCATCCAGAGGAACTGGCTACTGGTTGGGAATCACAGGGAGGCAGCTTGAACCCACACCGCAAGCAGCCCAGCCTCAGAGCCTGCTTCTTTGCAAGACAGACTACTCCCCACCACTTACAGAGCCCACACCCTTAGAGCTCCCTGGTGATGACACTGGAAGGGGTAGGTAAGGTGGGTTTGGCCTGAGGGGCCCCTCAAGGCAACTCCAACTCTATGAGTTGCTTCACTAGTAGAAAGAAAGGGCTTTTAAATTGTGGGTTTATCCTCACCCTGTCTGGCAGTTTAAGAACTAAATAGAGGAAGAACACTGGCCCAGGGCCCCAAGCGAGCCATCCTGATTCAGTTTGCTCAGCTATAAAATGGATGCTAAGATACCCTTGGAGTCAAAGGACCTACAGACATGATCCACCTCCCTGTGCCTGCTCCATTTGTAAAAATCTTGTGGAAAAGGTAAAGAGAGGTAGGAAGCCTCCACCCAGTGGGGCTACAGTGGTGGCGTGGAGCCCGGGCCCAGGTGGAGCGTGGATTCCGCACAGAACAGCTGAAACCCATGTCCGGGGACTCATGGGCTTCCCCTTGCCACACTCATCATCACCTCCCCTCGGAACCCAGGAATACAGCACAGAAGAGTTGCAGCTAAGCCAAGGTACCCAGGAAACACTATGGGCTTCACAATGAATCACTTACATCATTCTGCAGTCACTGTGGGCACTGTTCAGACTTTACAAGCACATGAGTACCTAAAAATATGAGTTGCACATTTATAAGTAGTCCTTTTTATAGTCACATTTCAGATTTAAGAGATCTTCTGTGCCCCGGGGTAATCTCTAATGCCGGTGGTTTTCCTGAAATGAATCTGACGGGAAAGTAGTGTCTGAAGAAAGAACAACATTCCAAGAAGAAAGAAGAAAGCCACTCTGATGTCGTGGTAGCTGCTCCTATGAGCTAAGTCGACCAAGCTCTGCTCGCAGAATATGATCAAAGGACTTTCGGGCTTTCAAGAGCTTCATATTTTACTTAATCCTTGTCATCAAAGCATCATCTCTCAGCTAAGGAACAGAAACAAAATTTTCCTTGACACTAAATCTAATAACAACTATAAGAGTAATGATTAATGGTATTAAGATGTCAATTAAAATACATATGAAGTTTTTCTGTGATTCACTGGTGAAGTACAGATTCAGATAGAGGCAGATGGCAAATAATTAAAAATAAATTCTAAGATACTATTTTTTAAAAAATAGAAAATTCTGAACAGCAATATTAAATACTGCTTTTAGTATGAAGCCTTTAAACTAGGATTTATTTCTTCTGGCACATGACCCCTGGGTGCTCAGGGGGGGCCTACCTAGTGTCCTTTGAGGCAGAGGTGATTAGAAATGCCCCAAGTACCCCTGGAATCATTCTGTCCACACCTGTCAGCTCTCCTTTAGTATAAGCTGCTGCCATGGGGACATGGTTCAGTTCACCTTGAGGTTAATTTTCTTAAGGAATCAAAACCTTCCATAGAAAGATGCATACCACATGAGATGTTTTTCCTTCATGCTCCCTCTAAAAGAAATATGTCACTGGAAATTTTACTACTAAAAATGATGACAAAGAGTTGCTTCTGTATTTTAAAATCTTCAGATTGTTATGCACATACATATCTAAAAATATGAGTTACACATTTGCAAATAGTTTCTTATTATATTCCCGTTTCAGATTTTGAGGCATCTGCTGTGCCATGACGTAATCCCTAATTACAATGGTATTCTTAAAATGAATCTGAGAAAGTAGGACTGAGCCACAGCACCTTCAGGAAACCAAGTGAGCAAAGAACCTCTTAGAAACTGCTTACAAACATGGCAAGATGAAGGAAAATGTCATGCACATCTTCTAGGAATAAGTAGGTAGACCAAAATTTAGAACTGTAAGTGTACAAGTGCTCCACACATCACCTCTTAAACCCAAGACAGAGAAAGAACAAGCTTGGAGAAAGGAAATTGAAAAAAATAAAATAAAAATCAATCTCATTCTCAATCACTCTTCCTCAGCTCAATATCCCTCTTCCTCTCCCTCCTCCAACTTGATCCAACTACTATAATCCCTTCAGGATAGCTCTCCAGATAAAAACCTCTAAAACTTTCCCGGCCCTCAGGCAGATTCTTGCTAACCAATATCTAAGATGTCATGGCTTCAAATGCAATAACAATAACTTTGTAGTTGATGAGGCTGAGATGGGGTTTGGTCATCAAAGACTGCCAAATGGGGCAGCTTCTGGATCTTCTTTAGGCACACTGGCTGTTGTGGCTTGCTCTGAGGTTATTAATTCATGCTTTAAAGTATAGTTTACAACCTATGTCTTAGGAACCAGGCCTGGACTGCAATCAATCAGCTAATTGGGGGTCTTCCTGGACACTGACTTGAGAAGCTCAGCTGTGCTTTCCTATTTTAACAACTTTGAATTAACTTTTAGGTATCCAGTCAAGTGCTCCACCAATATGAAGGCATTATAGGTAATACAGGTGACTAAAATTACTTTTCCACTAACATTTAATATCTAATATGTTTCATGATAGCACAACGTGGTAGTACCTTTTAACACCTTATGGATTTTGGACTTCTTACTTGGAATCCATGAAGCAAAAGGTTCCAGGAATCAGTCCTTGGACAATTCATTTTCTAGATTTAAGGGTAATTTTAAAGTCTTTTTTCCAACACATCAATTCCCCATTACTGAGAAAATGATAGTATAAAATAGGCTACTTTTCTACAGTAGATTATTTTTTTAAATCCCAATAATGGTAAATTAAGCTAGTCAACCCAAATTTTCAGCTTATGACGTAAAGAAAAGGAAACACTGTGACACCCACGCACTGATTCACCTGCTCCTATCTGGAGAGGTGCGTTCCTGCAGGAGAACCGAGCAGGCCACCCCCACTCCCTGCCCAAGGCCCCACTTACGGTTGGCCAGCCGGCTCTGCTCTGGCTGTGCGCTGTCCATGGATTGGGTGCTGGAGACTGAGGACACACTGGAGCTCCGCACAAAGCCCAATGCCGCCAGCTTGGCTGCTGGGAGACGCGAGTATCCAGGAGGGCGAAGTCCAGATTTAGGTAGACAGGATTTGGCAGCATTCGAACTGGAAGCTTTCTTTAAATCTGCTAAAATGAACCCAAACCAAAAATAATTTCTCAGTTGAAAGCAAGACAGAGACTACACGGAGTGTGAATATTAATCCTGTTCTAGCATAAACAGTCTATGAGTAACCTTGAGGGTCCAATTTAGCACATTCACGAATACATCTTTATGAGAAAGCCCCTCACTGTGGGCAGGGGCTTTAGAGCGCTCAAAGAGAAGGAGACGCAGAAGGTGTATAGGAGAGGCAGAGGGTGGATGAGACTAAAGCAGACAACTAACCTATTATAGGGTCTTAAAGAAAGATACAAAGTGCTCAGGAAGCTGAATAGAATGAGAATGCTTACTGGTGCAAGTTACCCTAGAACTGTGTCATTGAGATGCACCTAAAAATCCTACTTACAATGGGCAAAGGACCCTTGTGGCAACTATTCATTAGCAATTATAACCACCACATAGTAAATCATAGAAACAGGTACAAATAATTCATTTTACTAACCTTTTGTTGGTTGCAGGAATGAGTGGAAAGGGCATAGACCAGAGCTGGCCAGGTCGGAATCTAGGCTATACCAGTTACCAGTATTGTAACTTTGGGCCCCTTCCCTAACACTAAGAAGCACAGTTTCCTTCCCCAGAAGGAATTGAGGATTAGAAAACTGGCCGCAGGTTTAGTATAAGTACATATTCCTGCTTATAATACCGAATTTGATAGGTGCTCAAATGAATGTCAGGCTTCTTTTCTCCTTTTTCTATTACTTGTTTTGATGTTAGTGCAAACTTCAAAACTATTTCCCAGATATATGCAAATCCAGCTATTGAAATAATAAAACATCATGCTATAAATCCATCATCTCAGCACCATGTCTGAGCCAGGCTCCCATGATAATCACACTACAAGAAGCCTCACAATACCAGATAGAAACAGTATGTTATTAAGACCCAAGGGCTCTACGATACCAAATTTTAAAAGAAAAAGGGCCAAGTTTCCTTGTATTCTGTATAATTGTCCAAGCCAAGCCATTTAACAACTTTCCCCTGCAGCCATATTTACTTCGAGTGCTTATATCCAGATCCTTCAGTGATGTCAACTCATTATTATCCAGTGAAAGATTAATCAGGATGCGGATTAAACATATTTTTTTAAATGGCCCATTTGTAAAAAAATTCAATGTCTAAAACTCAATGAAGAGTCTACATATTAGAAAGTTTCTATGGGTGGAAATATAAAAAGAACCAATAGATGCCAGACTGGGTATACAGTGCCTCTTCCTTTACCAGCAACTCCCCCTAAGAGTGAAGTTGTGGACAGTTGCATGTGTGGTGAAAGCAGAATCTACACATCTGTAGTTTCCTGATGCCTGGGTCAGGACTGGGAGGGGGAGGAATCAGGTGAGTGCAGAAGGAAGAGGAAACAGGGAGCTTGGGCTGTAAATATTCCCAACTCAGATCTGTCATAATGCTTTAAAAAATGCTCAACTATGACAATAAAGAAAGAATCACTGTTTAATAAATAGCAATGACCCCTTTGCATTAGCAATTAAATGCCGTTTCCAATGTCTTTAAATCGTTTTCATATCATTTTGCTTACTTTGAAATGATATCCCCAGAACAATGAAAGTGTCCCCATATATCAGATACCATTTTCACAATAAGTTTATATCAAAGCAATTTTGGATTATGCCTGTAAAACAGTAAAAAAGTTGCTAAAAATGAGATGTAATTTCATCAACAATCATACACTAAACCCATCACATTTTGATACTATTTTCAGTCATAGATAACCTTCTTCCTAACCCAGTTAATCAATAATTGACTTAAGATTACACAAGATCAAGTGAGAAAAATATGAATAAAATATTTTTGGAGGAAAAGCAAATCCATATTTGGAAATGAAGGAGAAATCAGAATTCCTAACAGAGCACTTTGGCATGTGGTAAACATTCATTTAATATTTATTTAAGAATAAAAACTAAGTTTATTAAATCATTACATAAGGCAATTAAGTCATTGAAAATGTTCAAAGACAAATGTGTAGGTCTCTAAATGACTTTCTAGTTTTCACATTCCCTTAGTCCAGCTCTTCCTTTTAATAAAGGCACATATGGTGTGGAGTGGGGTGGGGTGGGGCTATTTGTGGAAGTATGTCTTGTCCCAACTCTGTGTGTATACACTTTTTCTAAATTTAATATAACCTTTAGTATACATCAAGTCTCTACACAATGGTCTCTCTTTCTACCAGATAAATCTCACAAATAGTATACACCATCAAAGTTTAGAGAAGCAAGTCTTGTTTCTTTTATACCATCAGTCCCTAGCACCAGTAGTATAGGTTAAACTTACACATTTGGTTTTAACAAGCTATTGTTCAATAAAGTTTACAAGATGCCAATTTATCCTGTGAAATGATCTCATTCAGAATGTTCTAACTGAATATGCCTCAGTTTAATCTTAGTTTCTTATAAAAATGGGCTTAATTATAAAAATATGTAGTCCTTACTCTTTTTTCAAACTAGTCCAGCATGTCAGAGGAACATATTTTTTCAAGCATTTTGTATCCTTGGAATATTCAAGAATATTGACTTTGACAGAAATAATGTGTCAAGGTGTATAGTAAGCCCTCAATAAAATAATGATGGTGATTAATATTATAATAAACTGAGAGCATGTAAGAAAGACAACTTCCACAATAGTGGCATGAGAAGCTCCATGGATACTTTTTCCAGAGAAATAAACAAAATTGGTAAAAATTATTTAAAACACAACGAAAATTTAAAGTCTATGGAAATTGTTCTAAGGACATACAGCAAATAATGAAACACTTATATAAGAAAATCTATTAAATCTCAGTAAGAACAGTGATAGTGGATGGCACTTGAGCCATGACCTACTCCCTTACTCCCCTGTACCCTGTCCATCTCAGCATGATGAAGATCTACTCTGGGTGGGTCTGGCTAAAATGACAAGATTCCTCTTCCTGTTAGAGTATGGTACCTTAGTGGGAGACATAGGCCACCACCATTTCCCACCCACATCCAAGAGAAACACATCACTATTTCCACTCCTTAGCAGAATCATGACTATGAGATTTTGCCCAAGGGTAGAGACAGGCCATAAGAACAAAAATGGCTGAAGTGCTGTGCAACGAAACTGACTTTATTTAGAATAGAGTATGGGAGAAATTCAAACCTAAGGGCACTCTTGAAAACAATGCAGATTCTTACGGTAGGCAATGAAGAGGAGGCTAGTAGCTCTATGGGAGCAAGAAGATAAACTATAGGTAAGACAGTTTACCAAAAAGAACCCAAAAAAGAGCTAAAAAAGAGCTTTCTCAGACTCAGGACTAACTTCAAAGAGACTTCAAAACCACCCCTGAAAAGGAGCCTGAATTTAGTTGGATCAGAATGTGCAGTAATTTATGTCTCAGAGCACTGTAGAAAACAATAAAGCAATCAGCCAGTAATTAGTGTAGCCTGATAGCTGGGTGTGCTATCAAATGGAGGAAGACAGAGTAACAGGGAGATCAGGAAGAGAGACAAAAAAAGCTCTGCTAAAATACTGTCAGAGTGACTATGCACATTCCCACAGCTGTGTCATCTATGAAGTGACATCAGTGGTTTCACACTGCAAGGGAAATAGGCTTCACTGCCTGGCTGGTGTGGTTCAGTGGTTGAGTGTCCACCCATGAACCAAGAGGTCATAAGTTCAATCTCTGGTCAGTGCACATACTTAGGTTGTGGGTTCAATCCCCAGTAGGGGGCTTTCAGGAGGCAGCCTATTCATGTTTCTCTCTCATCAATGCTTCTATCTCTCTCTCTCTAAATTAATCAATAAAAATGTATTAAAGAAATAGGCTTCACTAAAATAGGCCAACTGTGTCAAACAAATAAAAAAGCAAATAACAAGCCCCAGACAGGAAATTAGGTAACCAGTGTCCACAGATGTGACAATATACTATATAAATGTCCAGTGTACAACAAAAAAAATTTGAAACACGCCAAAAAAAAACCTATGACTCAGACAGGGGAAAATAAACAGACAACAGAAACTGTCTGTGAGCGAGCTCAAATGTACGTCTTAGCAAACGAAGACTTCAAAATATCTGTTATAAATATATTCAGAGAACTAAAGGAAACCACAGTTAAAGAAGGGAGCCTGGCCAGGCGTGGCTCAGCGGTTGAGCGTCGACCTAGGATCCAGGAGATCAGGGTTCAATTCCTGGTCAGGGCACATGCCCGGGTTGCAGGCTCGATCAATGATCTCTCATCATTGATGTTTCTCTCTCTCTCCCTCCCTCTCCTTTCCTCTCTCTAAAATCAATAAAGATATATTTAATAATAATNATGATCTCTCATCATTGATGTTTCTCTCTCTCTCCCTCCCTCTCCTTTCCTCTCTCTAAAATCAATAAAGATATATTTAAAAATAATAATAATAATAATGAAATAAAATAAAATAAGAAGTGAGGGAGATATTATGACAGTGTCCCATTAAATGGAAAATAACAATAAAGAGATTAAAGTTATTTTATAAAGAACAAAAAAGAACCCAACAGAAATTGTGGTGTTAAAAAGTAAAATAACTAAAATAAAAAATTAACTGGAGGGGTTCTAAAACAGATTTAAACTGTTGGAAGAAAGAATCCATGAACTTATATAGATCAACAAATATGTAATTCAAGGAACAAAATTAAAAAAAAAAAAACACAGAAAAATTAACAAAGCTTCAGAAAAATGTGAGACACCATTAAGTGCAATGACATACAAGTAATGGGTGCACCAGATGGAGAAAAATGAAAGGAGCAGAAAATATATTTGTAGACATAATAGCTAACATTTCCCAAAATTTATGAAAAACATTAATCTACACATCCAAGAAGCTCAACAAAACCCAAATAAAATACATGCAGAGTTCTACACCCACACATGTTATGGTAAGAATCTTGATCGCCAAAAACAGAGAAAATCTTGAAAGCAGAAAGAGAAAAATGACTCTATGTGTGAGCAAATACTCATAGATTAACAGCTGA